ATACAAGCTAAAAAGCGACTTCGACCTCGAACCCCCCGCTGATAGCGCGTCGACATCAAATTAAATACTTGACAAATGTCGTCATTTCTCCATCCCCGGCATTATTTATGGTACATCGGACCACATCGGCTTCGTACGCCGTCTATCCCATCTCATTAATGCCAAAGTGATCGTGCTCATTTCGTGATCACTGTAGACATCTGTAAAGTCAACGCTGACTCAGCTGCCAGCTCAAACTCGATCGAAAGAGAACAAAATGCCCCTCCTACATGACTATAAAAGAAAAAATTATTGCCAATGCGAATGTAAGCAATTTTCCCGCACTTTTCTACATTCCACAGCCCTTAAGAACTGCTACAGTTTGCTATTTTTCCCTACTTAAGTACCTCGCTAACTTGGTCGTCGGAGGAACAACGAGGGAGATAGACCCCGTCCTCTTACGAGTTGCTACATGTGCAAAGAAGAACAGCTCAATTCAAAACTAGATATTCGGAGAAGTTAGCGGTCCCTAATCAACTCAGTTCATATTAGTTTACATGTGTGATTTAGACCACCAACACTATTCTAAATATAGTTTGTAGTTAGCAATACTTCTCAAAATCTTTTGGAGAGACCACAATAAGACAACATGCATCTAACTATATTCAACAAAGTTTTATTCTTTCTTTTAGTAACACCATTTTGTTGTGGTGTATACAGTATCGTTGTATGCCATTTAATTCCATACTAAGTACAATAATTCTCAAATTCTTTATATTCCTCACCTCCATCAGATCTCAAATTTTTAATTTTCCTTCCAAGTTGGTTTTCAACATGTCTTATATTTTTTAAAGCATTCAAAGGCTTCCAATCTTCTAGAGATAAGATAGACATGTGCAAACTTAGAATAATCATCTATAAAAGTGATAAAATATTCTTTATTACGATGAGTTTTAACACTCAGGGGCTGTTTGGTTGTTGTTGATAAAATTGTGTATTTATGACACAACTTGGAAAGTTGTTGTCCACCTCGGTTGTTGTTGATAAAATTGTGTATTTATGACACAACTTGGAAAGTTGTTGTCCACCTCATCAATTTCACTTGTATACTTTTCTTTGTTTGTTTTTTATTCCATTGGAATCATAAATTGCTTGTTTAGTTTACAAATGTAACTTTAATTGTTTGTTTGAAAAGTATAAAAAGTGGTCCCTACTCAAATGATCATATTGGTTGGAATTTTTTTTAATTTTTTCTGACTTAAATGTTAACTTTCTCCTAAAATCATGTCTTTTTTTTATAAAATCACTTTACAAGCCACATCAGCATGTGAAATCACTTTACACTATTTTCACAACTACAAACAAACAATTGAAAATAATAAAAGCTGACATTGGGACCCACTTTTTTACACTTTCCATCCTTTTACATGGTAAAAACATACAACCAAACAGCCCCTTAGGGGACCACAAGTATCCGAGTGCATTAACCTTAATAGTTCATTGGCTTTTTGTCTGCCAATAAAAGGTTTTCTGGTCATTTTACTAATTAAACAATGTTCACATAGTAACAATTGAACACTAGATAGTGCAAGCGATAAGTTTCATTCTAATAATTTTTTTCAATTTTGAAACACTAACATGTCCTCGTCTAGAATGTCGTAATTCAGATTCAGAAATATAACAAGATACGTAATTCAAATAGGAAAATTTTATTATCAGAATTATCATGCATAATTCATGCTCGGGTACATATTTTTTCATAGCATACACTTTATTATTATTTCCTATAGAAATTGTTATTATAGAATTAATTTCCAGCACTTTTTTCATCAACGTACGAACATAAATCAGATTGCACCGAATTCTTGGCTTGTAGATTATATTTTTGAGGACGAGAACTCTGTCCCCGAGGTCCAATTTGTACGAACCAAAACTTTCTACATCGAGATATGTATTGTTTTTCATATAAATTCTCTGTAACCTGTCTTTAGCTCGATGAACTATGTGACTCCATTCTTCTCCTATGCGATATGCCTCGTCGCATCGGATTCGATCCACCAACCGTTGATATCCGTCATCGCAGTATTGCATTCTATCGCACTGACGAATCTTTTAATGGTACCCTATTGTTCTAGATGCTTGTAGACTCATCTATTCTCATGTTTTTCACCTTGAGGGCAAATAGGCATGAAATGCCCGAATTTGCCATAGTTGTAGTAGGCTCCGTGAGGCACTTTCTTCCTCTTGAACTCCTGCGGTTTCGATCCTCATGGTTATGGTTTGTTAGGGCCGATGTTTTTCAATATTATGCCTCTAGCAGACATAATTCCTCTACTGCTGCACTATGTTCAGTTATGGTTCCTTCCTGCTGGTTATTAAGTCTTGTTCTATCGCTAGGCGCATAGGAAGATCAATGACAAATTTAATGGTAGTATTCATTCTTAATAGTGTTAGCCACAATAAGGGGGAAGACTATTCAAAATGATTGTCACTTGCATTCTTTTTGGGATTTCGGTCCCAATACTGAATAAGTCCTTAACCATGACATTCATCTCATTAATATGCTCTACAACACTGTCTCCCTCTTGCATACGACAAAAATTGTGTTTATGCAAGAGAAGTTTTCAGAGGCAGTATCATATTTCTTGTTAATGGCTTTTTACATGTCCATGGAAGTTTTGTAGATTTCAAAAACTTTGATTAAATTATCTTCCATAAACATGAGAACTAGGTTTTTTGCTTTTTTATCTTTTGACTTTCACTACTCTAACCATTTCTTTTCTTTGGGCGTAGATTTATCAGTAAATGTTAGAGTAGCGATTTCGGTTACATCATTGATATCATCATGAATCAGGTCATATCCTATTTTTTATGCCAAATATCGTAATTACTGTCATTAAATTTGTTAATTTTTCTTAGCTCTTATAGAACAAGTTTACTAGCCATTCGGTAGAGAACTAAAACTAATAATCTAAAATTTGTAAAGAATTTTAGATATATGTACTATTAATGGTATTAGAAATATATACTAGATATCTATAAAACAAATTGAAATTAATCAATATAAACCTGATTGCTTCAAGTTGTGAAAGAAAGCTCTAAATGGAGCGAGATTGTCACTGAATAGTATTGATTGAAGAAGCAACTCTCTGATCCGAGTTGGCAAAGCTTGGTTCGCGAAAGGGTCCAGTGCATAGAGCGAAAGACAATTTGATTAGATGGTCTTCGAGGTCGAAGTGGATCTGGTCGGCATTGAACTGATCTAAACTGCTCGGATTGAAGGTAGTAGCTGTTGGTCGGCTCACATCAGATATTGGATGGTGCTTCATCTAGAGATGAAAGTGCTCAATGAGGAGGATGGCTAAGCAAAGGGTTCTTTTTGAGAAAACATTTTGAAAAGGGGGCCTTTGAAAAAATGATTAATAAAAATAAAATAATAATTGTAGTAGAGAAGTCACAGATCTCTAGTGGTAGAGGATTAAAAAATAAAAACATACATTTGTAGGGCTTGCTCTCCAAACGAGGTAAAAAATTAATAAACAAATAAAAATTATGGTTACTATTAGGAACAATCTAAAAAAATGCAGCTAGCTTTCCACTAACACAAAACTTGATAGAACTATCAAGATTTTAGTGGAGCGTAAAATAATAATAATAAATGAAGAGGGTTGGCTGCTCTGCTTTCTGGGAACATAGCTCAAAGAGCACGAAGCTGATTTCTTTCATCTGAGATCGGATAAAATGCAACTTTTTAAGGAGAGGAACTAAAAACTTCAGGTAAAGGGAATTGCTCTAATACTAATGATCTGAAAGATGGAGAGACAAAAAGGCTTTTTGGGGTTCTATAGATAGTTCTTTTCTATGTATTTTCCAATAGAGTTTTTATCTCTATTTATAGGCTCATGTCCACTATCACTCTACCCTAAAAATCCAACCATGAACTGATTCATCTCCACTTAACAAGCTCCAATAGTCCATTATCTCAATTTGTTGAGATAATTGTGCTGATTGATTTGGTCACACTGACCAAGTCAAAGTAACAATAACCAGTTATAATAGCTAATTCATCCTCGTTAAGGAAGTGGCTGAAATGTTTTTGAGATAACTGCTATGTCATACAACTCAAGTATCTTCTACTTTAAGATACAAGAAGGTATTTATGTAGAAAAGTTGCAGTGTGACTAATTCCTGGACGCTTAGCATGGTTATTCTTAAGACCCTTGTCTTCAAAAGTTTTACGCCGCAATGTACACATGTTACATTAGGCAGCTAACAACAATCTGGTTGCTTATAATTTGCTTACAGAGTTCACGCTAGGGTTTCCCAACATACGTGTATAGCTCACTTTGGCTCTAAGAAATGATCACTTTTGGGTGGATTCTTCATCCTTTTTAAGTTAAGAAGAAAGCATTTCAAACACGGTTCGCTCTCTATTCCAGCTTCACCCCAACTCCAAAATAAATAAATAAATAAATAAAAGTAAAATAACCCTTCGAACACACAAATACATCCTATCACATAGGATTTTAAATACTCCAATTTTAAATGTGGTAGATTACATAGTTGATGTCCAATTTCACAGACATGACATGATATACTAAAACACAATGAATTTTATAGTGTATAATACGTGTCAGAGACATGCACCGCATGTGTCAGATACGTCACAACTTCATGTTTGATGTGTGCGTGCTACCTCTCCTTTTGGGCTTCCATAGTGTAAACATTTAGAATCCTTCTTTTTATTATTTTGCAGCTCTGGAATACTTCATTCGATGTTGAGCAGTAGTCTATAATGTATAAAAGAAAAGTTAAAGAGCATGAAGCTTATTTTTCCTACATGTGATAAGGTGAACCACGCTATTGATCAGAAATATAAAAATACATACATATTGTGCATAATAAAAACAATTAAATTAGGGATATAGACTATTTTGTTCACTGAAAAATTGGAAAGCTGCAAATTAGTTATTGCTACATATAAAATGTAAACTGATGACAATTATAAACTACAACAGTACCTATCCAATCTGCACATCGAGTACACAAGAGGGAGAAAATACGGGACCAACAAATAGACTCCTTTTTATTATTTTGAATACTTTGCAGGTGTCTTCGTTCATTTTCCTGTGAACAATAGACATGAATCAAACAAAGAAGAAGAGCAGTAAGAAAGTCATTTCTGAATTTTACATCATTTTGAGATAGTCTGAAAACAGCAACATACCCCCTCAGGGTGACTTGCAACACGATCATACTCCCTAAGAAGAGGTTCATCTGTGGTATCTGATCCTGACACCTCCAGATACTCATTTCTTCTTTCATCACCATCCCCGTGATGAAGCCTCCTTTTTATAGTTTTGGTAGCCATACTTCAAGTGTGCTCGACGTTGCTCTTTCTGATAAATATGAAGAAGCTATCAGCATGCATGACATGAAAATTACAATTGACCCATAGTTTAAAACTTTAAATAAAAAGGTACTACTGCAAATTGATTATGAAAAGAAGCATCTAAATCCATGAGATTAATTTTAGATGTCCAAATCCATGTAGTTGACAAAATGATAAGAATCTCTGTCAACAAAAACAAGGGTGTGAACATAAATAAAAACATATTGAGAGGAAAATATCACATTCAAATGCTTCACAAGACTAAAAAGATAATGCTCCTAAAAAGATAATGCTCCTCTAAGTCGCTATGTGCACGGGAGTGAATATGGCTGGCTTGAGGAAAATGACATGGCATTCTAATGAAAACTAAAGATAAGTAAACACATGGATTTCTAAATTTTGCATATCAACAATAACAAGAAAGAAACTTCCCAATTAGTGGTGTCATGAGTATACAAGTAAAAATAAATAAAAGTTCCATATTATCTTCCAACAAAGCTTCATAAACCAAAACCATGGCTACTTCTTCCAACTCCAACACCAATGCAAGCAGTTCGGAATTATTTTTGCAATATTCCAAATGTACACTTACAGAAATGCTGAACTTGATCGAACACAGAGAAGAAGAAAGAGGATTTCTTTGAAGGGAGCTCCGGTAATGGATAAGGAGTTTTTTGTTGTGTTTTCTGAAGGAGATTGATCCTCCTTTTATAAGGGCTAAACCTATTATCTCCACCCCCTCAGATCCGCCCCTTGAGAGATATTCTCTCAACAAACCCACATTCAAAATTTCCACGATTTTCTCTACTGAGAATCGTTGATTTGGTCATATTTGACTAAGTCAAGATAACATCTCCCACTTGACCAAATTAACCAAATGACATGTCTCCCACTATCAGTGAGATCAGATGTTTCTTCTTACCATTACTCCCACTATCTGTAGAGAGTAACTCTTATTTCATTATTCATGAAATTTTACTCGAACTTATTTATTCCTAACTCCAATCAAACTTACATGTTTGATAAAAGATTCCGTTGGTATTTCTTTTGTCAAAGGATCAACAATCATATATGTAGTAGGGATATAAGTCACTTTGACTTCTCCCTTTTCTACAATATCTAGAATATAGTGATACTGGATCTCAATATGTTTTTCTTTGGAGCTATTCGTGCCACTATTGATTAAGCTAATTGTTGCTTGATTATCGCAATAAATATAATAGGTCCTTCTAACAAATTGAGATCAAGATCAATCAAAAACCGTCTTATCCAGACAACATGTGTAGTTGTCATACTGCAAGCTATATATTTAGCTTCTTGCATATATCTAGCAACACACCCTTGTTTCTTGCTACTCCAAGAAACATCTCCTCCTCCAAAGATGAATTAGTGTCCTGAAGTGGACTTTCCATCATTTTTATCACATCCGAAATCAGTATCGGAATAACCGAGGAGTTCAAGCGAGTCAGCTTGATAAACTAATCTATGAGTCAATGTACCTTTGATATACTTCATAATCCTTTTAACAGCTTCCTAATATGCTAGTCCTGTATTACTTTGATATCGACTAACTAGACTCACAGCATAAGCTATATCAGGTCTGGTGCACAACATTGCATACATCAAGCTTCCAATTGCTTGAGCATAAGGAACATCTAATGGCTTTTGCCCCTCTCCAGGGTTTTGCTCTTTACATAATCTCTTTCCCATGACTAACGGAGTTGACGCCGGATTGAAATTCTCCTTTCCAAACCTTTTAAGAACTGATCTTAAATATTTTTCTTGGTTTAAACTTAGCATTCTAGACTTTCTATCTCGAATTATTTGAATTCCAAGAATATATGATGCATCTCCCATGTTTTTTATCTCAAACTTTTCGCTGAGATCTGCCTTAGTTGTATTCAACATTTCTATGTCATTTCCAACGAGTAATATATCATCCACATATAAGGATAATATAGTAAATTTTCTCTCACTTTTTAAGACATATACACAATTATCTAATTTATTTTGAATAAAACCTAATTTAGTGACTGCATCATGAAATTTGAGATACCATTATCTAGAAGACTGTTTTAAACCATATAGAGATTTTATTAATTTGTAAATTTTATGTTCCTGTCCTTTCACCTGAAAACATTCAGGTTGTTGCATATATAGCGCTTCCTTCAACTCTCCATTAAGGAATACAGTTTTAACATTTATTTGGAATAACTCCAAATCAAGATATGCAACAATAGCTAAAATAATTCTAATAAATGTAAATTTAGCTACAGGAGAATATGTCTCCTGAAAATCTATTCCTCTCTTCTGATTGTAACCTTTGGTAACTAACTGTGCTTTGAATTTATCAATAGATCCATCAACACATATTTCTTTTTGAGCACTCATTTGCATCCTATGGTTTTTCTATTTTTCGATAGGTCACATAACTCACATACCTTATTTTTTTCTATTGAATCAAGTTCTTCTCTCATAGATTCTAACCATAAAGATGATTCATACGATTTCATCGCATCAGAAAAGGTTAAGGGATCTTGTTCTTCTATATTTGTATCTATCGAGAAACAGAATGGCTCACATGAATACAAATAGTAATCATGCATCCATGAAGGTTGTGTTCTTGGCCTTTTGTTGCCTACAACCGGTTAATGAGGTACATTATTTTTTATAGGTATTTCATCATTTTTAAGGTTATGTTCATTCATAATATCATGATCATTAGTGGAAACAATACTGTAATAATCATCATCTATTACAGTTAAAGGTTCTGGTTCCTCTCGAACTTGTTTCTTTTCCTCTAGATTCTCTAAAAATATAGCAACTCTGTTTTCAATGACTCTTTTTTCTTTAGTGTAGAACTTATAACCTTTTGACTTTTCTGAATACCCTATGAATTTACACTTTATTGTTTTAAAATCTAACTTATCTCTAAGTTGATATGGAATAAGAACATGGGCTATAGATCCCCGCTTTCTGAGATGACTTAAATTAGGTTTTCTCCCATTTCATAATTCATAAGGTGTAAATACAACTGATTTGGTGAAAATTTTATTTAGAATGTAGTTTGCAGTTAACAATGCTTCTCCCCAAAAGCTTTTAGAGATCAAAATGAGACAACATGCATCTAACTACATTAAGCAATGTTTTGTTCTTTCTTTCAGCAACACCATTCTGTTGTGACGTATACAGCATTGTTGTATGTCTTTTAATTCCATACTGAATATAATAATTCTCAAATTCTTTAGAGTTATATTCCACACCTCTATCAGTTCTCAAAATTTTAATTTTCAATCCAAGTTGGTTTTTAACTTTTGTCTTATATCTCTTAAAGCAGTCAAAAGCTTCTAATTTTCTGGATATAATATAGATGTGTGCAAACTTAGAATAATCATCTATAAAAGTAATAAAATATTCTTTATTACTATGAGTTTTGACACTTAGGGGACCATAAATATCCGAGTGTATCAGTCCTAAAAGTTTATTGACTCTTTGTCCGCCAATGAAATGTTTTCTAGTCATTTTACCAGTTAAACAATGTTCACATGGTAGTAATTAAACATTAGATAGTACATGAAGCAAGTTCATTCTGATAATTTTTTTATTTTTGAAATACTAGCATGTCCTAGTCTAGAATGCCACAATTCAGACTCAGAAATATAACATGACAAGTAATTCAAATTCGAATTTTTATTATCAGAATTATTACAAACTACTGGAAGAATACATAATTCATGCACGGGCACATATTTTTCCATAGCATACACTTTATTATTCTTGCCTATAGAAACTCGGTTATTATAGAACCTAACTTTCAGTCCTTTCTTCATCAAACTGGGAACAGAGATCGGATTGCGTCAAATTCTAAGCGCATAAAACACATCTTTAAGGACAAGAATGATGTCCCTAAGATCCAACCTATACGAGTCAATACATTCTACACCGAGATAGGTATTATTTCTCATATAGATCCTCTGTTCTTCTTTTTTTAGCTCGGTGAATTCTGTGACTCCATTCTTGTCATTTGTGATATGTGACATATGTCTAGTTTTACCGGAGTCGATCCACCAATCGCTGATATCCATCATCACAGCATTACATTCCGTCACACCGACGAATTCTTTTTTGTGAGTACCCCCTTGTTCTGGATGCTTATAGCCTCTCTTATTCTTCTGTTTTTCATCTTGTGGGCAATTGGATTTGAAATGTCCAAACTTTTCACAATTGTAGCAAGCTCCGCGGGGTACTTTCTTTCTCTTAAACTGCTGTGACTTTAGTCCTCGCGGTTGTAGTTTGCTAGAACCAGGGTTTTTATAGCTTCCAACAGTATGCCTTTAACGGACATAATTCAGCTCTTGCTACTCATATTCAATTCTGGTTCTTTTCTACTGGCTATTAAGTCTTATTCTATCGTTAGATGCATAGAAAGATCAGTGACAGACTTAATGACAGGGTTCATTCTCAATATGATGGTAGCCACAGCAAGGGAAGAGGATAGACTATTCAAAATGGTTACCACTTGTATTCTTTCCGAGATTTCGGTTCCAGAAGTGGAGAAATCCTTAGTCATGACAATCATTTTATTTATATGCTCTACGACATTATCTTCCTCTTGCATACGATAAGAATTATACTTATGCAAGAGTAGTTGAATGTTAACTTCAGAGACGGTGTCGTATTTTTCTTTTATTACATTCCACATGTCCATGAAAGTCTTATAAGTTTCAAAAACTTTGATCAAATTATCTTCCATGAAAATGAGCATAAGGCTTTTCGCCTTTATATCTTTCGACTTTTACTGCTCAAACACTTTTTTTTCTTTAGGTGTTGATTTATCAGTAAGGGTTGGAGCAGTGGTTTCGATTATATCATCAATATTGTCATGGATAAGAGCATATCTTATTTTTATATGTCACATATCATAATTACTGTCATTAAATTTGTTAATTTTTCTTAGTTTTGATAGAACGAGTTTACTAGTCATTCGGTAAAGAACTAAAACTAAATTCAATTATAAAATATGTATAAGGTTGATATTTTGATAATTATACTAAAATAAAGTTAGATAAAAATAAATTAATTAATTAAAATGAACCTGATTCTTATGAGTTGAAAAAGCGAGGTCGTCACTTAGTGGTGTTGACCGAAGAATCTGTTGTCGAAGTTTTGTTGTTGTTTCTGACCAGGGGTGTAGATGATATGTTGCGCTCTGTTGGATTCCACTGGATAGGATTTTCAGACAAAAAAATAAATAAATAAAGGGATGTAAATTGGTGGGATAGTGGGCCTTGTAACTGGGCTTTGATTAAAAAAAATTGACGAGTAGGGCTCTTAAGAAAACAAGTGCCCCACGTTCACTCCTGGATATTTGATCAATCTCAGGAAATTTGATCACCCAAGGCCAACCAGAAAAGCCCAGTGTCCTCTCTCTTTTACCGCTCTGTTAAAAAAAACCGATCTCGAGCTAGGGTTTTCACCGAAAATTGCAAGGGGCGGCGGATCTATCTCTCTTCCTCGATCTAAATCAAAGAGCTCGCCGAGGATGGAGACTCCGATGTTGATGTCAGATCTGTCAATCGTCGTCGCGACTTAGAGAATGATGGCGGAGTCGTCGTCGTCGTAGCAGTCGTCGATCAGTCAGTAGCAGTTGTCGTTGACGTTCGACACAGAGCTCGAGAGGGTGGCGTTGAAATCAACCTGGCTCTGATACCAACAAGAAGAAGAAAGAGGATTTCTTTGAAGGGGGTTCCGGTAATGGGTAAGGAGTTTTTTGTTGTGTTTTCTGAAGGAGATTGATCATCCTTTTATAGGGGCTAAACCCATTATCTCCACCCCCTCAGATCCGCCCGCCCCTTGAGAGATATTCTCTCAACAAACCCACATTTAAATTTTCCATGATTTTCTCTACTAAAAATCGTCGATTTGGTCATATTTGACTGAGTCAAGATAACACAACTCAGGCGGTGAAATAGAATGAAAATAAAACTGTAGGCTATTAATGGATTAAAATAATAGATTGCAGGCATATCGGAAATGTATAAGGTATACCTTAGGGGCTTTAGTATTATTCAGGTTTAAGGTGTCTCAATTGGGTTTTCTTATTGGTGATCCTCATTGGGGCGCCCTTTCAGTAATTATTAATATCATAATCTCTTTGAAACAAAAATCACTATTGCCCAAAACTCCATCAATAATCTAAATTTAATAGAAAAATATCAAGCTTGTCGACAATGCAAACTAAACCCACAAATTCAATGGCAGAATCCAACAGACCCATGATTAGTTCTAGTGGGATCAGTGATCAAGAAAACAAATTCAACTAGAATTTTTTTTTTTTTAAATGTATAAAAGAGAAGAAGAGAAACTCACCACTCAAAGAATTGGGAGATTGATTCTGTAGTCTTTGTATCCAGCAGCCGCCTATAGGAAATAAGATCGACTAAGGTCTCCTCCCCCTTTTAATTGTCTTGCGCCTCGCTTGAGGAAAAGGAAAGAGGAGCTGAACAATATTTTACTTAAAAAAAGACTAGTCAAAATCCCCGTGCATAATGCACGTAAGTAAAATAATCATCAACTAAATCATAAAAAAAAATTAAAAGATAATAGTAAATGTATATTTTAATGGTTCGTTAATATGAAGTTCTTCAAAAGTTTCATGAGCAATGGGAGTATAAATAGTCCAAGTATTGAACTTCACCGCATAGGATCACAATAGAAAATTTACTAGAAATCAGATATATGGGCCTGTTTGGCAAACTGGTACACTAATTTTAGTGGAGGCAAAATGAGTTTATGAGCTTGGCCCTTTGTTTGGCAAATGAAAACAAATAGGAAAAAAAACTAATTTTTCTAAAGTCAACTTTCACTCAATGACTAGACTAGAAATAAACCAACTCTCACTTGGTTTACAAGAGAACTAGCTCAAGGAGAGTCTAGTTTACATGTTAGCCAAACTAGATTTAAGTTAGAACTAGTTCAATAAAGTCTAGTTTAGCTAAGTCTGTCCAAACAGCTGGGATTTCGAGTCCGGGCCGAGCAAAATTGTCTGTCTGTTCCCGACTCGGAGGCCTCGGGCTGGGCCCGGGTCCGGGCTAGACCGGTCCGGACTGGTTTTTTTTTATTTTTTTAAAAAAATGAAAAAAAATTGCTTTAAAAATATTTTTTTGCAAAAAAAGGAATTTCAAGAGTATTTAAAATATGCAAAATTTTGACAAAAACTCAATCTTATTATTAACCATTTATAATTATACAATTTGTAGATATCATAGTAATTAAAATGATAAAAAATAAATTTTTTTATTATTAATCACTAACAATTACAACTTTTTTAAAAAATATTGCATCACAATAGATGAATACATCTCAACTAGGTTGACACCAACTCATCTATATCACTATTATTTGCAACTCTTTCCAAAATATCACAGATTTGCAGCTAAAAATTAGAAATTATAAATTACTTTCTACTCTCTATCTCCTATTATCAACTTATTAAGTCTATCTTTAATATTAGCTATATGGTCGATGCATTCAGTTCTCTTCTCATACCTCCACTAATTTTATAGGCACATTACTGTTTGTACGGTAAATGGATCTAGCGATGTCCTTCTGTAGGTGTAAATTTTGATTTCCTGAAACGGAGATTTCATTTGTATTGATAAGAATAGCTTATTACAAATTAATGAATCGAAATTACAACAGAAGCGGAGGGAATGCCCTCTTTGTTTAACGTGAGAACTTTGGTAGCGATAGGATGTCTCGCTCGGTTCTCGTACTGAGTTTGCTTCCCTTGGACGATTTGATCGAGGTTGCGGGCGAGCTTCATACGCAGTAGAAGCTCGTGTTGATCGAGTTCGAGTTCCTGATCTTAATGGCTATCAAGGCCGAAAGCTGAAAGAAGATACTACAGTGCAAGAACAATGCAAAGAGCCAGGCTCGATTCTCTTAGAGCTTAAGAGAATTGATTATCAAGGAGCCAAATAGGTTCGGTCTTGATCCAGAGTTTAAGACCCCTCTTTTGATAGCCATCATTGGCTATTTATAGTGGAGGAGAAGCATGGCCACTCCCTCAAATTGTGGGATTGTGGTTGAGGGGGACCATAACTCCATCCCTTAAATATTGGGATGTGATCATTAGAAGTGTGGAGAACCATACTCCATCCCTTAGATCATGGGGAGTGGGTGTACCCACTCCCACGTTTTAAGCTCAAATGGCTGACTTGGCCCAGCCGTGCAGACGAGATTGACATTTGCAGGTGAGCTTGGGCTGTCAGGTGACCTGACGAGCTTTTCAGGCGAGCCTGGGGGGATTTGGCATGCAGGCGAGACTTAGTGCTACAGGCGAACTTGGCCTTTAGGCGATCCTGGATCATAAAGGCGAGCTAGGTCTTCAGGCGAGGCTATGCAGGCGAGCCTCGTAGGTGAAGCTGTGCAGGCAAGCTTCGCTTAGTTCGGGCGAGCTCCAATGCTCAGGCGAGCTCTAGCCTCGCAGGCGGACTTCCTTATAGGCAAACTTCACCCTTTTCAGACAAGCTTCAGCCTTCAGGCGAGCTTGGATCATGCAGGCGAGCTCTGCAGGTGAGGTTGTGCAGGCGATCTTGCCTTTGGGTGAGCCTAGATCATGCAGGCGATCTTGCCTTTGGGTGAGCCTAGATCATGCAGGCGAGTTTCAAACTGTCAGGTGAGGTTATGCAGGCGAGCTTGACTTATGCAGGCGAGCTCCAGAACATGCCACGAAAAATAGGTCATAACTTTTAAACTGTAAGTCAGAATTTGACGAATTATATATAAAAATCAACTATCTCGATGAGACGGAACCAACCAACCAACCCAAAAGGGTTCGTTTTGCTTCTATCCGTTTTGCTAAATTCCTTCCGGTTTGAGAGATATCAGCGTTTTTCCCTTTTCAGCTATTTCGGGCGAGGTTTTAGCAGTCTTGTTCTAAACTTCTCTGATAAGGATTAAAGACAATTTTTATTGCCTATAGTCCTATGGTCGTAGATCAAACGTCTTGATATGCTGAAGGTGGATTTCTGAAGCTACTGTAAAAACTTGTACTGTTAGTAAGTCACGAGCCATGATGAAAAGTATATGATATGAAAATGTTACATATATTCTCCACCCTTACAAAATATCATTGATAAATATTGTTAACTAAAGATGTAGCTAAATATTGTTCAATTTTAGAAGTTTTCCTTGATGATGATATAGATCCAGACCCACGGCTACTACTAGTTAACCTCTGTATCATTGATTGCCTATCAAAAAACTTACCTTTTGCCCCTTCTTGAGCTTGTAGAAGCTGCATGTTGAGGTGTAGTTACACCATATTTACCTGCATACGTGTCAAACAATCTTTAAAAATAATATTTAATAGTGTTATGACAAGTAAGAGCAGTAATAGTCTGACGACTATCAGTGTCTATTATTATGTTCTTATACAAAGAATTTAACAAACTTTGAAGGCCAATATCTTTCAAGCATGGATCAATAAGAATCTCTAAACCAAAGATAATAGGAATAGATCTAAAATACTTATTAAATTTATTTTTCATTTCAAAAATCATGTTTCCAAAATAATTATCCATGTGATAAGTATTAAATTTTTTTGAATATTTAAAACATGTAAAGCAGCTTGAGTAATAGTTGAATACTAACAACCAGATAATAATATAGTGGATTCATTAAAAACTTGTATCATCTCTTTTACACAACATATAATTGTCCATTCATCATCAGTTATTTACATATTACCAGAGGTAGAACTAGAAATATAGAAAGTAATAAAATTATTTATAATTTCTTTTTACTCTATTGCTACATTTAACATGACATATACGGAATTCCATCAGCGGTCAACATATTTCATAATTAACTTAGGTTTTACATTTTTTCTTCTACACAATTATTTCCATCTTTTAAGTCTTTTTTCAGAAGCATTATGAGCATAAGCTATAACCCTAACTTTTTCTATCATTGGTTTAATTTTATTAAATGCACTTTGTATAATTAAATTAAAAATATGATGCATGCATCTAATATGAAAAATATCACTCTAGCATGGCAATAGCAAAAAAATTTTGATATAATCTACAACAATATTATTATTACTTGCATTATCTAATGAAAGAGAACATATTTTTTTAGAAATTCTAATTTTAAAAGTTCTTCCATTATTAAGTTTGCAACATTTTACACCAGAGTGTGAATCTTCAAATGCAATAAAAGAAACAAGTCTTTTAAACAGTTGCCAAGTGTCATCAATCTCGTATGCTATGATACATAAATAACCAGTTATTTCTCTAGATGTCTAACTAACAACTTTTAGAGAAAATATATAGTTTAATCTTTGAAATAAGAAATTATTTTTATTTATTCCTCGTGATAATATTTCAAAATATCAAGTGGACAAGAGTGACGATAAAATTTTTGAAGTGCGGGACAAAAAATATGGGTGCACAAAGTACATTTGGCTTTCTGGATGAGAAGTTTGCCGTGTTGATCTCTGATGACTTCTATCTTCTCATAAAAATTCCACACATCAGATCTCGGCATTTTAGGAACTCTAGACATTGGATCATTGCCACCAGATATGGGATCAACATATGTAGTAGGAGGAGTAGCTGAAGGAATAGTAGGACTTATTTCGGTGTCGGGAGTTGTAATTGCCCTCCATAATCGGAGGAGGAAGCCATTAGAATTAGAGAATTAGAGGGTATAAGAAAGAATAAGAGAGTATTAGAGAGAAGTTGATGAGTTTTGAATGTAAAAAATAAATAAAAACCCCCTCTATTTATAGAGCCATCTCCTTAGCCAAATGACCTAGCTCTAGTGGAACTAGTTCAAACCTAGTCTATACTGTTTTCAAACTTGTCAAACACACACTATGCTTTCTTGTATAGCAATAACTTTATTTTGAATTCTTAAAAATATATTTTTAATGCATACTCTACCTCGGTTATTCTTTATAGGATGAATTTTACAAATTGCCCCCATCTCCGGATTTGTGCAGAACCTACCAAACTTTAAAAATTATTGGAATGCCCAAACTTCTTAGAAATTATTATGAACAATGTTTAAAGGGAAGTTTTGAACTACCATTTTATATTGTCAATGCATAAAAACATGTGAGAATTAGAGGACGACACGGGGGAGCTAAACAACAATATAAAAAGTAGAGGCTATTCCGGTGAGAAAGAACGGAAAAGAAAAAAAAAGTAAGGACAAATTTTCAAAACCACCCTTTTTGCGATTTTATTCCCAAAAAACGACCTCTTTCCTCTTTATTTGTAAAAACCGACCTGGTTTCAGCCTCAGCGCTGAAACCAGGTCGGTTTTTACAAAAAAAGTTCGGAAACTTCACGGGAGTTCAACTCCCGTGAAGTTTAGCAGCTTAATTAAATAGCTGTTAAACTTCACGGGAGTTGAACTCCCGTGAAGTTTCTTAGTTAAAAAAAAGTTGAGCTGTGGAACTTCACGGGAGTTGAACTCCCGTGAAGTTTAGATCTTAATTAAATGATTGCTAAACTTCACGGGAGTTCAACTTCCGTAAAGTTTCAGAACTTTTTTTGTAAAACCGACCTGTTTCAGCCTCAGGGCTGAAACCAGGGCGGTTTTTACAAATAAGTGGGAAATGGGTCGTTTTTTGGGAATAAAATCGCAAAGAGGGGGTTTTGAAAATTTGTCCAAAAAAGTAAAGGAAAACAGGTATGAACGAGAGAAGGGAGGAGAAGGGGATTAATGCACGTACTTGGTAGATTTTAAGGGCTGTTTGGTTGTTGTTGGTAAATGTGTATTTATGACACAATTTGGAAAGTTGTTGTCCACCTCATCAATTACTTTTATACTTTTCTTAGTTTGTTTTTTATTCCATTGGAATCATAAATTGCTTGTTTGGTTTGCAAATGTAACTTTAATTGTTTGTTTGGAAAATGTAAAAAGTGGTCCCTACTCAAATGATCATATTGATTGGAATTATTTTTTATTATTTTTTCCTGACTTCAATGTCAGCTTTCTTCTAAAATCATGTCTTTTTTTATGAAATCACTTTACAAGCCACATCAGCATATGAAATCACTTTACACTATTTTCACAACTACAAACAAACAATTAAAAATGATGAAAGCTGACATTGGGACCCACTTTTTTACACTATTTCCATCCTTTTACATGGTAAAAACATACAACCAAACAGCCCCTAAAAGTCACTGGCTCAGCAAAGAACAAAAGAAGGAAACATCATATCTTTTCATTAGATTTTTTGAGATACTGATGTCCTTTTGTCTTCGAGCAATAATGGCATGAGCTAAATAAAGGAGGGGTCTCTAAAAGCATGGAGTTTTATTGGAAACTGCCGACCCTACCACGTCGAAAATATTTTCTTCATGTTTGGCATGACCCTAAATAAGGGAGCTGAGAATATATGTGTTTACATGGGGATTGCTGTTAGGACGATTTTAGGAGGTTTCATGCAAGCCTGCTAAAATTTATAGTCCTTCGTGCAAACCCCTATAATTCTAGGGGATTTTATGAAATTTATCACTAGGGATATAAATATAACAAATCAAATATGCAAAGCACGTGACACCTTGGATTAATCGTTAAAAGTCAGACTAAGAGGGTGTTTGGGAAGACTTATTTCTTGACGCTTATAAGTTATGCTGGCTTTTAATGACTTTTTACTTTTTTGATAAAAATACTATAAAAATTATTTAAATAGAATAGTAATTTGCTTGGTCAAACCTAATCTTTTTAAGTGAGCTTATAAGCTAGTTTTTCAAAAGTTGTGATGTACCGACTTTTTAAAATGAGACTTATAAACTAACTTATTTAGCATTTTATCAAACAAGTAGAAATAAAAAAACTAGCTTAAAAGCTAGTTTGACTAGAAAATAAGCCTCCCCAAACACCCTCTAATTTAGCCCGACAAATTAGAGGAATTTTCTCAAATTTATAAAGTTTAGGATGGTTTTGTCCAAAACAACCCAAAGTCCAGGGGTTTGTGAAAATTTACCCTCTTTAGTATGCCCTTTATCAAGGTCTGAATGGGGGTGTACGAAGCAAATATATCAACGTGCATACGTAAGATCGGAACAAGATTTGGATATTTTGAAGAAAAAAAAAGTTGTAGCTGTGACCTAGAACATAAGGATGGGCATGTGAATTCCTCTATTTTAACATTTTCGACAAGCCTCTTAATTTGGTGAATTACGGATAATAGACTTACATTATCTTAGGAATGACTGTCAGGAATATATACAGATAGATATTTGCGCAAATGCGCAGTGTGTACTAAAGTTTGTTGAAGAAAATAAAAGCTTAAACCCATTACTAAGAAATAAATATATGTTCGAAATAACAGTTGAAAGCAACTAAAATCGAAAATCAGATTAATTTATAAACAATCAAGTGATCAACCATATTCTTACATCCTTCCCCGAAAAATAACATACATAGAAAATTTAACTACAGCAGTTGTTTCCTAGATATAAACAAAGCTACTCCTCTATATTTAAAGGACAACAAATTTTCACTGTAGACCCAAACTATTTTTTTTTTACCAAAATCGACCGATTTTTTTTTAATTGCCAAAATCGACCCGTTTTATGCCACGTAGGCGTAATCCAGTTTCCTAATTAGTCGGGGTTGCCAACCCCGACTATTTAGGAGTTGTTAAACCGGGTTTTAAGGCTTCTAATCGGGGTTTAACAACTCCTAAACAGTCGGGGTTGGCAACCCCGACTAATTATTTTTCAAAAACCGACCTGGTTTCAGCGCTGAGGCTGAAACCAGGTCGGTTTTTGCAATTATTTTTGAATGGGGTCGTTTTTGGGGAATAAAACTCCAAATAGGTTGGTTTTGAAAATTTGTCCGGCATAAAACGGGTCGATTTTGATAATTAAAAAAAAATCGGTCGATTTTGGTAATTAAAATTCCGTTTAGGCCTACATTGAAAATTTGTTCTTTAAAGGAGGATCCAAAGAGTTACTGTTTATAGTGTTTATACTACAGTAAGTACTACACAACAAATTACTATAGCATAAAGACAATAAAATTACTGTTTATAGTACAGTATTTTACTGTACCATAAAATAGTAAATCTTGGATCCTCCTTTACGTATAGAGCAGTATATATGATTTCTAATTTTAAACATATAATAATCAAATTAAATGTATTACATCTTAGATGGAGATATGTTAAAAATGCAATGCTTAAAAAGACAGAGGTTTATGCTTTGCACGGGGTACACACTAGTACACATGTTATTCGAAAAGATATGTCATGTACTCCAAATTTCAATATAAAGTATATCACGAAGTATGTGATTAAGTTGAGGGGAAAAACACATGAAACATTTATAACTTGTGGACGTTCTAAGCATTGGCGGACCCATGCCTGTTCAAAGTGGTTCACTTGAACCACCTCAACTTTCGTAAATGGACTATATATTATAGATATCTGTTAGTGAACATAACTAACTTATAGCCCAGTGGTACTAGTGGTTGTTAGTTTCTAAGAGGTCACAGGTTCTAATCCTCCCAAAGCTTTCTAAGTTTGCTTTTTTACAAACCACTTTCTCTACATTATGTTTCTTTCTTTTTTTTAACCCAACATTCTATTTACTGTATTTAGATGAAGATAAGCCAAGTAATTATCTTTATATATATATATATACTTTCTCCTATTTTTTTATTTTTGCTTCTCTAAAAATATTTTTTCGCTTTATATTTATTTATTGTTTTTTACGTCTCTAATAATAGATCTTGAAAAAAAATATTAATGTATATTTTGAACCACCACGCGAGAGGGTGTGGATCCGCCACTGGTTCTAAGTTTTAAAGGGATAAACAGGACGATTGGCCCCCCAACAACAACAACAACGACAGAAGCAATATATACACGTGCATCGCACACACTAAATCGAACTATTTCATACCCCATCACCTCCCAAAATCCCGCGCTGTGTTTTCAAGGAACAGAGAGCCTTTTCACTCTCAAGAAAATGGAATCAGCTCACCGCCCTCACCTCCTCCTCCTCCTCCTCTTCTCAATCTTATGCTCACCGGCGGTTTCCACACCTCCCCATCCGGGGAATCTCCTCTTCATCCTCGGCGACTCCACCTGCATCTCTGGATCTCGTCACCGCCTTCTCCCAGATCTCATCGGTAATCACCCTCCAAATCCTAATCTCTTCCAAAAATCACCAAAACCCTAACCCTAACCCTGGCCCCTTTCTTTTCTGCAGCCGATCGGATGGCGCTTCTTCCGCTTCCCTCCTTCTTCGAGGCGGCGATGATCCGAAACATCACAAACGCGACCCTCGCCGGCGGCATCAACTTCGGATCGGCGCCGGCGAGGATCATCACATCCGGAGACGCCTCCATTGAAGTGAATGGGGAGAGGCTGTTCTTTGCAGCAGAGCTCAGTCAGCAGGTGAGGGCAGCGTGCACGAGGCTCTGCAGGTGGTTTACTTGACAGGCCGGGCCCGAGGTGGGGGATCGAGTTGTGGGGTCGGCGGTCGGTTGATGTCGTTTGGGTCTGATGAGTATGTGGAGATGTTTGAAATTGGAGGGCCGAGGGCGGTGGGGATTAAGTTCGGGAGGAGGGGGTTTGCTAGGGTTCTTGTTACCCAAATGGAGCGGGCTGTGAAGGTAAATTCTTGAAATTTTTTTTTACTGATTTTGTGACTGAAGGTGATCTTCAATTAGTTAGACCGCTGTTGTTCTGTTTTTTTTTTGTTAAAAAGAGGTAAAAGATACATATTTTATGTGGATTCTATCATGTAATTTATCTGAATTATTTCCAAGATGTTGATGATTTATTCTTTTGCTTTTTTAAATTTTAGAATTTGTTGCTAGGAGCAGATAAGAAAAAGAAGTCCATTTTGAATTCTTGAAGTGGTTATAATTATATATTTTTAATGAAAATTTTCCAGAACCTTTATGATTTGCTCTTTTCTTTTGCAAATGTATAATGTCATTACACAATAAGTTGGATGAAATTTTTAGGGAAAAAATAGTCTATTTAGTATTTTCTTATTGTTAAATGCAAATCTTATGGTGGAGAAACCCTGTAGGTGTAATTGTGGAATCTATAGTTAACCTGTTCAATAATTAATACTGAAAAATACAGATTGAATTTTGACACCACAAATTGCATATTCAGTTAACTTTATCTCTTAGTGTTAGCTTTTGCTTGATGCATATGCCCCTAGTCTAAGGAAGAACATGCCCTCCCGGATCTTCATTATATAAGGAAAAGAATGCCAAAGTCATTATACATTACATAGCTATTTGATAAGCTTTTGCTAATTATTCCTAATACCCTTGGAATTTTGTTCTCAGTATTTGAACATGATGCTATTTTTTTGTTGATTCTGAGTGTTAATCTCTAATATAAATCTTTATCTTATCATTTTAGAAGTAATACATTCTACCTGTTTCATTTATGTTTTGTGATGATATCCAGAGTTCCCTTTGCTTAACCTTGAAATGAAAAAAAATATTCTGTACAAAGTTTGTTCCATCAGTAAGTTATGGCATAGCTAAGTTCCCAAGTTCATGGTCCCTTGATGACCAGGGTTAACACTCTTAACTGTAACAATGCAAAAGTTGTTGAATATATAAACAATAAAATTCATGTGTACATTTTTTAATGTTTTTGTTCTGTAAACGTGGGGAAACCCCGACCCATCTCCTTATATAGGAGGAACATCTTAAGTCTTTTACTCATTTCCTTTGGCCTGTGAGCCAAGTGTTACGCACTCTACGGAACCGTGCTCAACAACCAAACTGGTCGGTAAGCGATGAGAGAAGAGAACTAAAAACAAACACGAGTGCAATTCACCAAAATATGACACAAATCAAACCAAACACAGAGATTTACGTGGTTCGACAATTGCCTACGTCCATGGGGAGAGGATGAGGAGATTTCACTATATGAAGGAGAAATATAACAGGTTATAACTCACAAAATCACTCAAATATAACACTAACCAAAGCTCTCAACTCTCTCATAATATCTCCCTCTCAAAGTGCTCAAAAGACTCAATTATCTCTAATTAAGAAACCCTAGAAATCGTGTTTGTATTTATACAAACACCCAATCCAAAACCGCCTAGGAAAAACGAATCAGGCCCACTTACCGCTATCGGTCGACCGTACTCATTGCACCGATAGACCGTCCAGAGACATGGTTTTCAGACCGGTCCTTTGCCTTTGGTTAACCGACCCGAGAATCCCTGTATCCCATTTTCCTGACGATTGCGTCGGTTGACCGCCCTTGCACCGAGGGTTACTATAGCTGTTTCTTCAACTCAAATTTCCTGATTTTTACCGTATTTTCTACAATTCTCCACCTTGACGAAGTTTTTCCAAAACTGAGCCGACACCAATGCGTCATCTCACCAAATCCGGCTGCACCAACGTGGTTGCCTACGTACCCCCTCTTCAAGGGATCAAGCTGCTCGTAGTTCGTCCAAATGGCCGTGAACGGCCTCAACAATCATGAATTTGTAATAAGTTTTTATAATGATCGAACTTGTTGCTCAGAACCACCTTTATGAGCATATCCGCTGGATTATCTTTTGTATGGACCTTCAAGTGCTCCACATCCCCATCTTCAAGAACATCTCGAACGAAGTGATAACGAACGTCGATATGCTTCGTCCTTGCATAAAATACATGATTCTTCGCCAAATAAATAACATTCATGCTATCACAATAAATGGTGACGGATCGCTGCGAAACACCAAGATCCTTCAAAAGTCCTCGAAGCCAAATCGCCTCCTTAATAGCCTCCGTAATCTCCATATACCCTGCCTCCGTCGTCGATAAAGCCACAGTAGACTGTAAGGTGCATCTCCAACACACCGACCCACGAGTCAAAGTAAATACATATCCCGTCGTCCACCGACGTTTATCCAAATCTCCAGCGTAATCTGAATCGACATAACCAATATATAGCTACCCATCGCTAGTGTTCCGCTCAAAAACTAAACCAACATAGAGAGTAATCTGAATGTACCTCAAAATCCATCTCACGACATCTCAATTACCCAGACCCGGGTCGTGCATGTATCTCGAAACCATGCTCACAACCTGTGATAAATCTGGCCTCGTACAAACCATGGCGTACATCAAACTTCCAACCGTGCTCGTATATGGGGTTTTCAATATCAACTCTCTATCTTCAACTGTTTTCGGTGAAAGGTCAGCTGAAAGCTTCAAATGGGCTCCCAATGGTACACTAACTGGCTTCGTCTCCATGCTCATATTGAACCGTTATAGAATCTTCTTTAAATAAGCCACCTGTGTCAAACAAATTCTGCCATTATCTGTCTCTATCGATCTTCATTCCTAAAATGAGCTTCGCTTCACCCAAATCCTTCATCTTGAACTCGTTCGAAAGCTAAATCTTCAATCTATCTATAGCGGATCTGGAAATAGAAGCAACTAACATATCATTGACATAAAATAATAAGTAATGTACGCACCACCATGCAACTTGCGAAAATACACGCAAGGATCAAAGTGGCTCCTAATGTACGAATGACCGAGAATAAACCTATTGAATTGCCTATACCACTGTCGCGGAGATTGCTTCAAACCGTATAGCGATTTCTTCAATCTGCAAATCAATTTCTCCTTCCGGACAGCTTGGAACCCCAATGGCTGAGTCATATAGATTTTCTCATCAAGATCACTATGAAGAAATGCTATTTTTATATCCAATTGATCTAATTCCAAACCATACTGTGTCACCAAAGCTAGCAAAATCCGAATTGAAGAATACTTCACCACCGAAGAGAAGACCTCATTGTAATCAATATATTCCTCCTATGTATATCCCTTCGCAACTAACCTAACCTTGAACCTCACGAGAGTACCTTCAATGCCCTCCTTCTTCGTATACATCCACTTGCAACCAATAGCCTTCCGTCCCTTTGGAAGCTCGACAAGCTCTCATGTGTCATTCCTATGAAGAGACTATCTCCTCCTGCATAGCCACCTGTCACAAATCAACCTCCAAACTCTGCTCGGCCTCTCTAAATATAGTAGGAACCATCTCATCGACACTCTCCATCGGAAGTGCATACGCAACGACTGTGTTTGTATACCTCGTTAGCATCCGTATGTCTTTCCTCAGCCTCCGAACCGCAATGGAATCCTGAATCTGAACCGTTAGTCTCTGATCCTACTCAAGTGTACTTATATCCTCCAAATCATCGTCGTGCTCGTCTGACGTCACCTCAGTCGGCACTCTAATGGATATGATCTCATCTAGACAATGTAGAGCTGGATCAATCTCCATCACTTGCGATATCTCCTCTGTTGGGATGCTCTCCACCTGATGAGAGCTGGGAAGCTTCAAGATTGAAGCCTCACCGTTGTGACGTCTCTACTCAACATAATCTTCTTATCAGTTGGATCCCAAACCTTGTATCCTTTGACACATCGCTTGAATCCGATAAATATGACATTCCTAGCTCGAGGTTCCAATTTATCAGTCTTCACATGATAAAAAACAAGGCATTCAAATACCTTCAGCTGATTATAGTTGTGTGTTGGCTCTCCCGACCATATCTCCATAGGGGGTTTTCTTTCAATCACAGATGAAGACAGCCTATTAATGAGGTGACTCACATATGAAAGTGCCTCAGTCCAAAAGATATTCTCCAAATCACTCTGCGATAACAAACATCGGATATTCTCTAGTAGAGAGACCAATTCAACCTTTATGTCACCCCATTCTGCTGCGGTGTATGACTAACTGTGAAGTACCTCTCTATGCCCTCGTCTCGACATAGCTGCTGAAAAGGGTCTGAAGTATATTCGCTGCCGTTGTCGGATCGTAACGTCTTGATCTTTTTCCCTGTCTGTAGTTCTAACATTCTCTTCCACCACACAAATAACTCTAGGACTTTATTTTTATGCTTCATAGTATACACCCAACAACGTCTAGAATAGTCATCTACAAAAATAATGAACCAATATCGACCACTAAGTGATGTTGTCTTGGTGGGACCTTAAACATCCGTATGCACGTAGTCCAAGATGCCCGTCGTCCTGTATACGGCTATCCCGAATTTTACTTTTGTCTTCTTGCCAAGAACGTAATGCTCACAGAATTCTATCTTTTCACTCTTGGCTCCCTTCAATAGCCCTGCTTGTACAAAGCCTGCAGTGACTTTTTACCTGTGTGTCCTAACCTATAGTATCAAAGTCTGCTCGCGTTCGCCTCTAAAATAGCTGAAGCTGCCTGGCCAATTTCGGTGCTTTCCTTCAGATAATACAAATTCCTATTGCGGATTTCCTTCATCACTACAAAAAATTTCTTAGTAACCTTTGCTACAGCATTCTCAAAGGTCATCTTGAATCCCTTTGTCTCCAAAACTCCAACGAAAATAAGATTCTTCTTCAAATAAGGAATGAATCTCACTTCATTTAATTCACAAACAACTCCACCATGTATCCGGATCTTGACGGTACCTATTCTACAAATACCACATGATTGATCATTTTCTATGACTACCATACCCCCATCAAGTCTCTCGAACGATGCAAACCAATCTCGCCGGGGAGTCACATGATAAGTAGCACCAGAATCTAGCATCCAATCAGATGCATCCACATGGTTCACCTCTGGAATAATCAATAGGAAAAAACACGAATCATCGAAATCATCACCTCTAGCGACGTTCACCTCATTGGCCTTCGGACCATTCTTCTTGCTATTCTCCTTCTCTTTGAGTTTCGGATAATCTCTCTTCCAATGTTATTATTCTTTGCAGAATGCACACTGGTTCTTCGCTAATTGGTGGTGGTCTCTTGACTTTGACCTGCATTTATTGCCACCTCTTAGATATGGACTTCTTCCTCTCGTCGACAAGACCTCTCCTGAAGTGCTAGCTCGGGAAGTTTCTTTGTCTTTCCTCCTCAAATCGTAATTCGTCAATGCATTAGTCACTTCACTGTAGGTGATGGAAGATCTATCATTCAATAAAGTGAGCACGAATGTATCATACTCCTCATTGGATAAGGAGCCCAACAAAATAAGCACATTGTACTCGTCTATAATCTTCTCATCCACATTTGCTAAGGCCGATAACAACTTTGTATAATTGTTCACATGAGCCGTAAGTGAGGTGCCCATAGACATTTGACATCTGAATAATCTCTGCAGTAAGTACAACCAATTCTCAACACTCTTTGTAAGGTACTTATTGTTAAAAATCTCCCACATCTTCATCGCAGACGTCACCCTAATCACATCGTATTTCAGTTTTTATTCCAAACAAGACCTGATCACCCTACAAACGTTCATATTCATCTTGTCCTATATGGCCTCATCATATTTCGGTGGCCTCTCATGGACCATGATGGTCTCTTCCAAAATTTAAGCATTGAGAGCGTCATGTACATCGCTCATCCACAAACCAAAATTGATTTTATCGTCATACTTTATAACACTAATCTTAGTATTTTGAAGTCCAACCTGAACTGTACTCATCATTATCTTGCTAATTTTACTAATTTCTTCTTTCATGCTTACAAACTCCAAATTATAAAGAAAGATTCAAACTTTGATAGAATTGAGAAATTACCCAACTGAACCCTAGATAGGACTCCAACATGATCTCCTAACCATACAAGGATAGCGAGATCCTAACGGTAACTCCACAACGCTATCTCCACCGAAGCCTAGAACTCCAAGAACCAAGCTTCAAACAACGAATCTTCCTCCACCAAATACAAAACCCTAGATCTGAAACCCTAGAGCTCTGATACTAATTGTTACGTGCCATACGAAAGTGTGCTCGACAACCAAACTAGTCGGTAAGCGATGAGAGAAGAGAACTAAAAACAAACACGAGTGTAATTCATCAGAATACGACACAAATCAAACCAAACACAAAGATTTACGTGGTTCGGTAATTGCCTACGTCCACGGGGAGAGGATGAGGAGATTTCATTATATGGAGGAAAAATACAACGGGTTACAACTCACAAAACCATTCAAATATAACTCTAACCAAAGCTCTCAACTCTCTCATAATATCTCCCTCTCAAAGTGCTCAAAAGACTCAATTATCTCTGATTAAGAAACCCTAGAAATCGTGTTTGTATTTATACAAACACCCAATCCAAAACCGCCTAGAAAAAACGAATCAGGCTCACTTACCGCTATCGGTCGAGCGCACTCATTGTACCGGTCAACCGTCCAGAGACAGGGTTTTCAGACCCTGTAGCGTGCACGAGATCGGTCGACCGGTCCCTTGCCTTCGGTCGACCGACCTGAGAATCCTTGTATCCTATTTTCCTGACGATTGCGTCGGTCGACCGCCCTTGCACCCTCGGTCGACCGACCCGAGGGTTACTGTAGCTGTTTCATCAACTCGAATTTCCTGATTTTCGCCGCGTTTTCTACACCAAGATGTCACAGCAAAGTTTGCTCCAACTCAAATCCAGATGCTGCTAATGCTGTGATAATTTCCAATTGTCTCCCAATGCATATTTTCTTGCATAATGTACACATATTCTCTATATTGGAGTTCTTTTAGTTTCCGCATTTAATGCTGGTTTTTATAAGTTTCTTGCAGGGGAAAAAAATACTAATTGCTGTAAACGAATTTCAGAATTCTCTAGTAGATCTGATGTATTTGTTTACAGCTGGCCATAGTTCTCTGTTTTAACAGAATAATCCGGAGCAGAAAACCTTCTATTGAGTTTTCCACATTAATTCATCTGATTGAATATTGCATGCAATGATGCAGAATCTATACAATGAGGGTGTCAGGAAGATTGCAGTTATGGGGGTGGGGCCCATGGGATATGCTCCGAGAATCTTGTGGGATGGAAGGAGGAGATTGCACGGAAAGAATTGCATAGAGGAGGTGAATGAGGTTGTATCCAGTTACAATGACAAGCTTGCGGAGAGACTACTAAATCTACAATCAATGCTTTCAGGACTCCAAATAGTCTTCTGTGACATTTACCGAGGGATGATGGAGATCATTTCAAATTCTCACACTTATGGTATTCTATGGCTCAATCCTTTATATTACACATTATTTTTGCTTGAGGCTCAACTAATAAAGTCAATGAAAAAGGAAACTATGAGATATCTAGTGGACCCTGCTCTCTTTTAAAGGTGAAAGCACCCTGATATGCTATTTACCTTGTAGATTTGTTACCTTGACAAACCATGTTGACCTTTATAATTCGTATCCGTTTATTTTCGACTGCCATCACTGTCCTGTTTCTGATGGGTAAACTGGACACGATGTGTTTTCAAAAAATAATTCAATAGAAATATAACTGTCTTAACTAGTCAAACTGACTATGTGTGTAGTTGATTTGTTTTTAAGATCTATGCATACTGTCATGCTATGTGAGTCATATGTGTAGCACATATTTAGGTTGTTTTTATATATATAATTAAACTCACTATATTTCTGTGTCGATGAGTTTTAAGGAGGGATCCATTTCAATGGATTCTTAGAATTGTGAACGCCCACTAATGAGGAAAATTTTCCACCATAAACAGAAAATTTAAAATTTCTAGATTTATTTCTCTAGCCATCGTGTTGCTCCCTTTTCTATACCTTCAGTGTCTACAACAAACATCTAGCCAAAGTACTTTACTCAAGTTTTTACATTTTGTTCTTTCAAATTTACATTCAAGAGAAAATTTTACCTTCACTTGGACATCAAAGACAGAGATAGACAATCCTACTAATATAAAATTTACATTTTGTGACCGTAACAGTTAAAAGAATGAATTTTTTTTTTTAGTTTATGAGCAAGGGGATGGAAGACAGTCTAATTTACAACCAGATAGTCTGATTTGATGGGAGTTTACACACTTTCTGGAATCTTGTTCATTTTTTTTCTTTGGAGGGAACTTTCTGAAGTATCATTTCTCACCTCATCAATATATCTAGACTGTCTCAAGCGACATGTCCTTTTTGTAGTTCTATAAATTTTTGCTGATTGCTCATATCAATTCTTCCACAGTTCCATTTAGTGCTTTTCCCTCTCAAGGAGCTTATGTAGGTTTAAATTAGACTCGACATATATTTGCTCATCATATTTCTTAATTTACCTATTAATTATTTTTTCCATCACAAGGACGCAAAAAATAAAATAAATAAATAATTAAAAAGTAAATAAATAAATAAAAAAATAAAAAAAATAAAAAATCAAACATTTGTTTACAATATTTTACGACATTTTTTTGGTGAATAAGGTAGATTAACGGATAAATCTAACCTCATTCCCTAACCCTAACATGAAAGAAAATATCTCTGGGTGTCGTAGAGATGAACCTTGAAGACTTGAACCTTTAAGGCAATTACCTCTTCCACATGCACAAGTACCTTGCCTAAAAGTCGTTGCTCTTCTCAGCTTTGGGTTATTTACCTTTCATTATAAGCAGTTTAATGGGTTATCACAGTAACAGTAACCTATTGTTTTACACCAATCATGTTCATTACTTGGAAGAGAAATTACTAGAAAGAAAAAAAACTTCCTTTTTTCATATTTTTCTCCAAACTGATGGTTTGATATAAAATTGCTACTCCTGAATTTTAGATTGCTCTATCAGATAGTTGAAAGAATAAAAATTAAGTATTATTGACGCTTCACAACCTAACGAATATCAGTTGTTTGAATTATTATTAGTAGTTCTACACAAGATTGATGCATGACTAATTATTAGAGCACTCTGATAGTCTGATCAGACAATACAATGTGGATAATGCACCCTCTCTCATGAATTAATTGTTTGAGTAAGTCCTGCAAAACATTAACTAGAGAAACACTTCTCTCAGGATTCAGCAGTGTGAAGAATGCATGCTGTGGAGTTGGCGACTTTGGAGCGATGGTAGGCTGCCAGAACCTTGAGATGTCTTGCAGTGATCCATCAAGCCATATCTGGTGGGACTTCTACAGCACTACTGAGGCAGTGAACTCGTTGCTGGCCAATTGGTCATGGTCGCCACCAGAGTCTCGACTTCAAATTTGCCAACCCATCGACCTTCATCAACTGCTCTCCACTACATAGCTTCCATGATTTTTCCAGGTGCACTCAGTTTAAACAAATGTAAATGTCATTGCTTTTCTCTGCTGGTACATATTCGTAAAGTGATATGTCATGGTGATTACCTAAATAGCTCATGCTATTACCATTTTCTATAGGCTGTATGCTTTTAATAGTTTTGTTATGCACAGTGGCCACTGGGGAGTAGTGAAGATGACGATTTGTATTCTTGGATGTGATACAATAATATAGCATTTAAAAACCCGAGAATAAATACTGTATATATTTCAAACAGGACATGACAAGCTTATTGTGTATATGACATTTAATGGGTCCACAGACTTTTTCTTACTGCTGTGATGGTTATATTAAGCTGTTAACATATAATCATGTTCCCTAAGTCTGATAAAAGAATGCATCTTACTGGTTATTGCTAGTCACTCTAGCAGTAGCAGGGTTATAATATATACGGTCTCCTGACAAGAATACGGTGGAACCAATAATTTTTACTATTTAAACAGCAAAATACTTGTGTCTTCGGAAATTTAAGGTGTTCCAGAGAATAATAACATCAGCAGGCCAACCTATCGTCTAAATAAGATAATGTTAAGCTGTTCAAGAGTATGGTAAATCAGCAGGTTTGCCTGCAACATGAATATGATAATTCAATGCCATAACCTTGCGTCTGCTACCTCCAGATGATTTTTTCCTCCGATAGTCACTTCCAGGTAATTGTGGAAGTTGTTAATTTACAAAATTACAACTACGATCATTGTATGTTATAGTAGAAGCTCACCTACATAATGCGCTCCTCTGAAAAGAAATTTGAATCTGTTTAGAAGGTTGATGGCGGAAATGGGTATTGTATATGATTTACCATGTTAAGACACTACTGCAAAGGGGACTATTGGCGACGGACAAATCCGTCGCCAAAAGTCCAAAATCCGTCGCTAAAAGTTTTAGCGACGGAAAAAAAGAAATTCCGTCGCTAAAACTCCGTCCCTATTATTAGGGTAGGTAAATCTACCTTTAGCGACGGCTAATCCGTCGCTAATTTATAGCGACGGTTATATAGCGACGGAAAATCCGTCGTTTCTGTATAATTTTTTGACGACGGTATTTTCCGTCGCTATATACTTAACCGTCGCTATAATTTTTTACAACGGACAATCCGTCGCCAATTTATAATGTTGGCGACCGTATTTCCGTCGCCCTATTTCCGTCGCTATATAATATTCCGTCGCCAATATATATTGGCGACGGAAAATCCGTCGCTGAAAACTGTATTAGTGCACAGCTGGCGTGTCAGTTTTCCGTCGCTAAAAGAGCTTTTAGCGACGGATATTCCGTTGCTAAAAATCATCTGAAATTTTTTTAATTTTTTTTTTGAAAATTAGAAATTCCTGTACAATATATTTCACAACAATAACCTGTACAGTAAATTTTGAGTGACCGTAGAGGGTTGGTGTCAGAGTAGGCTAAGAAAGCTTCTATCCCATCCTTGTATCGAGTGTCTAGATGCCTTCGATCACGTGGTATACCCATGAACGATTTGTCAGGAATTGTCCGCATCTAGAATTTAAAAATTAATGGAAGTGAGCATATCGCTACATATATCATTTTAAGTTATAGGACAAGTGTGTGTGATCGGCTGTCAGAGGAAGGCTTCTATCCCATTAGGTATGTAAACGTAGCGTGTATATGTATTTACGTGTGTTCAAGTGTACTTTTATTTCGTCAAAATTTCGGCAGCACCTACCCGCTGTACTTAATCGGATACGGATCCTCTACTAATGAGAGGGTTCCTAATATCTCCTAATGAGATCTTGGCCTTTGATTTATCAATCAAAGGCCAAGATCTCCTCATGCACAAAAGTAGGCGGGAGATAAGGCCTAGATATTGGCCTTTGATTGATAAATCAAAGGCCAAGATCTTCTTATTAGTAGGTATTAGAAGAGGATTCATTAGGAGAGGATCCCAATTCGTTCTCCGAGTACACTATAGTACACGGAGAACAACGAGTAAGCACCGCCGAAACTCTGACGAAAAGAAAGTACACAAGAACACAGGGTATTCTACGGCTCGAAAATATGAGTGTACAGTGTGTGCAATTTCTATGTAATTAGCGATATAATAGTTACGATAACCCCTCACAATCACCTCACCCTCATTGTAACCATCACCCTAACCCTAACCCTAAACCTCACCTTCACCATCCCCTAACCCTAAACCTAAACCTAACCCTCACCCTCAACCTCAACCTCACCCCCACCCCCACCCTAACCCTAACCCTAACCCTAACCCTAACCCTCAGCATCACCCCCACCCTCACCCCTACACCAACCCTAACCCTAACCCTCAACCTCACCATCACCCCCACACTCACCCTCACATAACCCTAACCCTCATCTAACCCTAACCCTCACCCCTACGCTCACCCTCACCTAACCCTCATGTAATTAGAATAAAATAAAACAGGGGGGGGGGGAATAAAATAAAACAATGAAAAGTTGGTTGTCTCTGATGTACTTTTAAAATAATCATAACATACTAATTTCTTGTGCTATATTCAAACCTTAATTCTAATTTCATCTCGTCTAAAAAAATGTACGTGTGTTTACTACACTAAATGGATCTTGTTTCAAAAAAAAAAAAGAATTAAATGGATATTTTTCGGGAATTTTTATCTAGCCCCCAGTCTTATTTCAAACATAATAATTGAAATTCAAGATTTTACGTTAGTTATAATAATGTTGAATCGCTGCTGCTCATAAAACAATGAATAAATATAATACGCCGATTGCAATATCTTAGATAATTTTAAAACCTAACAGCAAGTTAACGCCATTTTGTTTTTGCTGATCAAGAGCTCCTTTTCGATGGTGGCTATTGGTTAGGATTAGTATCAAAGTTAGAATTAGAATTAGGAGTATAGAAAAGATTACTAACAAAGTTTCATTATAACAATCCTAATAATAGACCCTTATAATCTTTGCTATAATCATACTCATAGCCTAACCTCAGCCCTAACTTTAAACCCTAACCCTAACCAATGTCCATCACAACTCAAAATCAACAAAGAAAAAATAATATTAACAAGCTGTCAAACTCCAGTAGCATCCATGTAATTGCAATAAAACTATAAATAAGATTGAGGGGAGATGGGAAGGGGGTACCTTGAGAGAGAGGGGGGAGATAGATCGACGGCGGCGGCGGCGGCGGCGGTCGGGTTCTGAGAGAAGGGGGGGGGGTTGGTCTCGGTAAAAACGGGCGCGGGGTGCCCAAAATTTTGGGCGCCCGCGCCCGAAAATTTTTTCCCACCCGAAAGTTTTAGCGACGGATAATTCCGTCGTTAAAAACTTTTTTAGCGACGGAAATTCCGTCGCTATATAAAATTTACCGACGGAATTTTATATTGTCGCTAATAATTTAGCGACGGAAATATTTAGTCGCTAAAATATCATTTTTCGTCGCTATAAAGTCATTTTCCTACGGTTAAATAGCGACGGAAATTCCGTCGCTATAAGTCATGTAATAGCGACGGGATTTTCCGTCGATAAATATCCGTAGGCAATAATCCATTTTCTAGTAGTGAGATAAGAGTAGAGTTTATCTAGTGGCGTTCCTACAGTAGCATGTATCTGGTTAGGTAAAATAACCATTATTTTGTAAAGGTTAATTGCGGATAGACCCCCTGTAGTATTGCCGCTATGAACTTATTATCTAAAGGAATAAATGCAACTGCCATCTTTCCCTTTTTTCTCGTTTTTCTGTCCAACGAGGGATGCCATTGCAGTTACACTACCAATCAAGATGTAGAAGAAAGACTTGAAGGGGATTTTGTTTTTCACCCCATGTCTTCGCCAATAGTATTAGAGTCGTTCCGAAGGAATCCTGGATGCACTTCTTCGTCATACAAGACGAACGAAGTGGCATGTGTATGCCAGAGTTATCATATAATTCTTACATTATATTATCAAGACAATGCGAGTACTCTAAATCATCATTTATTATTTCATCGGCAAGTTGCCAGTTACAATTTTCATCCGACGATTCACCACTATCAAGATCAATTACAAGAGATTCAATGTCATTTAATACAATACCTTCGCTATAATCGAGCCCGGCTTCGGTATCAGCTTCTTCTCCGCTGTCCATACCATGGGCCGATGGTTTAGTATCGGATTCGGCACCATAAAGAAGGGATTTAGTAAAGTAATTTTCTAACACCTTAAATGGTTGTTTATCCGTGACCACCGTCTTGACCTCGTTATTAGTGTCCACATATTTCAGACACTGATAGAGGGTGGAGGGAACTATAAGATTATTGTGGATCCAAGGGCGACCCAACAGCAAGTTATAAGAAGTCTCTGCATCAATCACATAACAAGTGACTTATGATTTCAAGTCTCTAAGTTGACACTTCACCCAGATTTTTTCCAATAGCCTGGATCCACTGGTGTTAAATTCATAGATAACGGTTCCCGTGGATGCTAGTTTGTTAGCGGAAATTCCAAGGTGATACATCAACTGAAGTGGCATGATACTAACAACGGAACCCAGATCAACTTGGATCCGGTTGACAACACTTGAGCCAATATATCCGGTGAAGTATAAAGGCCTATCATGCTTCGAATTTTTCACTTACATATCCTCTTTGGTGAAAGCAATGCAAAAGAAATTTCGTTGCTGTCAAGTTACAGTGCTGAACTGATGACTCCGGCTCTTCAGGGGTTGGCTTAATCTGAGTGAGAAACACATTAGAATCGGCCAACGCTTCTTGTAAAGCTTCCCTAGTGTCCTTTGAAAGACGTAACAACTCATACAATATAATTCTTGCTGGGATATTAGCTAATTGAGCCATGACATCGAAACGGTAGGGAGCGTTCGAACTTTCCGGTTTATCTCTTACAATCGGTCGATTGAAACGAGACTGTTTCGGAACTTGAACTTCTTTGTATTGAGGTTCCTTCTCTTTCTGCTTAGTCGATTGTTGAGGTTTCCCAGCAGATACAGCAGGAGTTGCAACCACCCCCCAGTTCAACTAAAGTTTTAGAAGGTGCAGCTTTCATCACCCCCTGCTCAGCTAGTTGCTCAAATGTACTTGGGTAGTTAAAGCGGTATTCATTCCACTTCTAGTAGCAAAAGATTCTTGCTCCTCTTCAGAAAGTGGTAAAGTTGGGATTTCCTCATCATTTTCTTCAGGAATTGCCGAGGCCCCATAACAAGACTTCTCTTTCCTCCCTTTACTTTTCACCGTCTTCTTGGATGTGGATGTCGTCCATTGTTCGTCCTCAAGCAAATCGGGATGAACCCAG